ATATATATATATACACACACATACATGTGTGTTGCGGTGCTTACGTATTTATTCAGTAATTATGTGATTTTGGACAAGTTGTTTGCTGTCTTAAAGACTTAGTTTCTTTGTCATCTGGGGGGTGAGGAGTGCCAGTAATTCCTGTTCTTCACTTAGCAAAGATCCTCCAATGAGGCTCACATGGGTCGTAATGACCATAATGAAGCTATATTGAGCCTTTACTGCATTTGTCTAACTGTTTTGGGTACTTGGCATGTATTGTCTCATGTTCCTTGTCCATCATCTCTAAGAGGATGCCACTCTTGTCCCCATCCTACAGCTGAGGGGAGTTAGGCACAGGCTGGTGGTGTGAACTGTGCCAGGCCTCGGAGTGGTGGGCCAGGCATGTAACTGGTGCCCTCCAACAGTAGATCCCATGCATTGCGCCACTAGTCCTGTGATCTGATTGTGTCATCTGAGAAACTCAGTGTAGATGCCACTGGTTGTCATTATAATCACTCCTAAAAATCACCAACACATTTCTTCTTTGCAGCAGAACTTTCTATACGCTGTTTGGAGGACCGGGAAGGGAACTCTGTAACCTCTCCTGCTCACTCCTTTCTTCCTACTTTGATGAAAGCAGGACTGTGACTGAGTCTCTCTCTTCTTTTTCCAGACCCATCCTTCTTCGTCTCTGGACTTCATGCTTTACATAATTTAGTTTGCCAGTTCACTGAATTATTTGATTTGAAAAGCCATGATTTAAATAAAAATATAAGAAAGCCCTCTCACACGTGTTACATAGGAATCAATATTATTTGAAAAAGAATGTTTTGCATAAAGTGATCTTGTTCATGACATGCGGCTGCTTGGTTCTTAAACGTCTTCGTGGTAACTGTCCTCACTCCCTCAGGTGTCAGTTTGTTCTTCACCGCGCCTTTCTCTGGACCGTAAGCTCCGGAGAGTACAGCCAATGTCTGTTGTGTTTTCTAGGGTGTGCCAGGCACCTGGTCCATGCTGGATTATCAAAAAGATATTTCTGAGAGGAAGAAAGGAAGGAAGAAAGAAGGAAAAGAATGAACACCTGAGTGGGTGAATGGTTGGCAGCTCCTTCTTGCCACTGTATGTGCCTCCCTCCAGGACTTCTTCTCATTTCATCTCTTCCTAAATCCCTGATTTTAACCTGCTCCAGACTGGAAGCCAGTTAATCAAATGTACTAACTCGGTGCATGAACTGAGAGTCAAAATGCACAGGGCTGGGGGAGCTCTCAGTGAATAGACCTAGTGACTTTAACTTGTCTACATTTAACTTATTAATATATGATATGTTAATATATAATATGGCTTAACATATAATATTATTATACATTCATCTCTGAAATGGTTATTATTAGTGAAGTGAATTCCAGATAGATGTGGCGTCACTGTATGTTTTTAGGGCCATTGACAATAGATGGTTTATATTTGTAGATTGATTTCTACATGTAAACATTGTCTTAGTTATGCATACACATTATTTACTATAATCCTTTAAAATCCTCACACCAAATTGGTTCTATCATTATTCTCATTTTGTGAAACTATCCGAGACCCCGAAGGACGGAGCGGTGACGATGGGGGACGTGGCAATGAGCGTGCCCCGGCCCGGCTTGGTCGCTAGCGTGCACCGTCTTTGCTCTTTAGGGCATGAGGCTGCCTGATCTCTGAGCGGCTGCGCCAGGGCGATGCCGAAGCAGCACAGGCTGCTGTGCCACCTTTGCCCAGGGGCGGGTGACGGGCACGAAGCAGCGCCCTGCAGGGCTTGTCACTGGCAGCCGCGCCCAGCTGCCCTGTCGCTGGCGTAGGACGAAGGCAGGCGTGGGTCTTCGTGAGAGGTAAGGCCTGAGTAGGGCTTTGAAGAGCAGATAGGGCTGGGAAAAGACGAAGAAGCGTCCCCTTAAAGGAAAGCTGAGAATATCTGCTTATCCCTAGTCGTCTGAGTTTTAAATTCTTAATCTCATCGATAGAATATTCCACCTAAAAGCAGAAGGAGAGCTTTCCATGTGTGGTATAGCTCACATACTCGGGAGACAATCTCAGACCAAGCCTTCTTTGTGCTCTCACCTGCGTCTTAAATGTCCAACACGGTGACATTTAGGGCATCGGATTTTGTCTTCAGGTGAGCGGATGGCTGTGTAAGAAGCAGGTGACCTGAAAAATGGATACAAAAAAAACAAACCTCACCGTGACTGAATTTGTGTTCCTGGGGCTCTCATCAGAGCCCAAGGTGCAGCTCATTCTTTCTGTCATGTTCTTGTCCTTCTATTTAATAACGGTGGCTGGAAATGTCCTTCTCATCACTCTTACCCAGCTGGACCCTCGTCTCCAAAGCCCCATGTACTTCTTCCTCACTAACTTGGCCTTTCTGGATGTCTGCTACACGTCCACCAACGTCCCGCAAATGCTGTCCAACATGCTGGGGAAAAAGAAGACCATCCCCTTCTCCAGCTGCGCTGCCCAGATGTACTTCTCCCTCTCCTTCGGCATGATTGAATGCGTCCTCCTGGGTGTCATGGCTTATGACAGATACGTAGCCATTTGTCAACCTCTTCATTACACTGTCATTATGGATCGAAACACCTGTGTCCAACTGGCGGCCGTTTCTTGGTCCAGTAGCTTCCTGAGCTCCATGATTATCAACGTCCTCACTTTGAGTTTGCCCTACTGTGGGCCCAATGTCTTGAATCACTTTTTCTGTGAGGTGCCCTCTGTCCTGAGGTTGGCTTGCACGGACACCTCGCTCACTGAGATGGTTGTTTTCATCTTCAGTGTCGTCATTGTCTTCACTCCTTTTCTCCTCATTGTTGTTTCCTATGCCCGGATCCTCCTGTCGGTTCTCAGGATGCGCTCGGCCTCGGGGAGGCGCAAGGCGCTGTCCACCTGTGCCGCCCACCTCACCGTGGTGGCCTTGTTCTATGGAACTGCCATCTTCATGTACATGAGGCCCCAGCCGAAGTCCTCCAGGGCCGGGGGTAAGATCATTGCGGTGTTCTACACCGTGATCACACCCATGCTCAACCCCCTGATCTATAGCCTAAGGAACCAGGATGTGAAAGGAGCTTTAAGGAGAGCTATCGTAAGACAAAAGGCAGGGGGGCTCTGAATGAGACACTAAGGTTAGCTGTTCACCTAAGAAAATTGACTTCTGAGGATGAAATGACAGAGTAAAAAAATAGCTTGGACAGTCAACATCTTCCCTGCTATTCATAAAAGACACATAAATCTCGCTGCAAACTCTACAGGAATCAGGTCTTCTCCAAAGACAAGCCACAGCTTTAAACTGTCAGAGCAGCTTTCTCCATTGTGACTCTTTCCTCATGACCTGAAAAATCTTGGTTCTCTAAAATCATAGACTGTCTGAAATTAAATGCTTGAAATTACACAAGTAAATGAAAGATCTTACTCCTGCCTGGAGGATTGAAAGCACTTTGATAAAGAGATGCATTCTTAATTTCTAACTCAGGTACAGAACTTCAGATGAAGAGTTTTTAGATGCAACGCTTCACATCTGTCTAATTTTATAGTTTTAAAGGAAACAGGACCCTGCATCTACTTTAGACCTTTACTAAAATATTGTTTCATTTAAATTTCAACAGAACTCTGCCCTTCCCACAAACCCTGGCTTGTGGTATTCCTTTCTGCAATGGGTAAATAAATCTGATTTTATTTGACTACAGTTTGTTCTTGGTGGTCTTTGGCTAATTGTGGATGGAGGACAATAATTATCAGAAGCAGAAGACTTGATAAAATGTTAAGTGATGGGTTAATTCATTCATTACATAGCTTTGAATGACTATATAACACAATTTTAAATAAAATAAAAATACTTAATTTCTTCATATATACATAAATATTTATAATACACACAAAATATGTACACATACTCTGACAAATTGTGATAAATGCAATAAAGGAAATAATCAAGGGGCAGTGACAGAGAGTAATAGGTACAGTGACCTTCAAGGAGGCTGCCTACAAAAACCAGAAGGAGAGGTAGAAGTGACATTGAGAAGAGCTTTCTAGCTAAAGGGTGGTTGTAAACAAAGACTGCAGATGGGAGAGAGTTTGCTCTATTTGAGGGAGTAAAGGAAACTAGTGAGAAGCAGGCCAGCAGCTGTGGCTGGGGAGGCAGGTGGCAGCCGGACCACACAGGGCTGAGTTGACTGTGGTGAGGAGCAGTGATTTGTGCTCAGTAAAATGTGAGTATTATGAAGAAGGGCGATATGACACAACTTATGTTTTTAAAAGGTTTTTCTTTATTCTGTGTGGAAGACAGACAGACAGGAAGACAGTGTTATCTTTACAAGGAATTATTCTTTGAATTAAGAAAACAGAAGAAGAGAATTTAGCATTAATGTACTCAACAAGTCTAAATATGTCCTGTGATGAACATGTTGTTAAATTAGAGATACGGTGTTTTTAAAATTGTTTCTCACTTATTTCACAGTTTACAGTACTAATAAAAAGAATGTAATTCACCTTTCAGAGATAACCAACAATAAAATGCAACCTTTTGTTTTACCTAAATATAAAGTCATCTAGGTCAGTAAATGAAGCATCTGTGATGGAATAAAGTACACGTCACTCATGGAAAACTGATTAAGAAGAGAAAAGAAAAATCACCAATAAAAAATCAAATTTATTACATAGTACATTTTTAATGTTTGTCTTGATACACAAATGACTTGATATACTTTTTTTCAATACATGAACAATGATTAGAAACATATATTTCTAACTAGCATTCTCTGAACAACTGGTTTAAAGTCAAAGGTGGCATTTAAAATTGTCCCAAACATCACCAAATAATAAATACATGCTTAGTTGGTTATTTATAAATTAGAAACAAGCAAAAATTGCAAAACCTTTCTCATCTGGGTCACATATAACCAAAACATGTAAAACAAGTGAAATTGAATATTTGTTTTTCTAGCAATTCATTATTTAGACCAATTGTTTGACCTAATCAATTCATTTTTGACTAGTTGGTTTTGATCAATAACTTGGAGTTGGGTGAACTAAGGGAAATAATGCCATCCAACAGCCCACTAGTTCTCATGGTCTTCAAACATGTTTTCTTTCTTTCCTATGTTTGCTTCTGTTGATATAAGATGAAAATATAACACTGAAAGACATTCAACTGATAATTCTGTACACTAGTGGTTACAATCATTGTTAGAACAACCAACAGTTAATTTTAAGACTAACACAAATAATGGTGAACTCAACAATTATTGGTCCTTCACAACATCCCAGTTGAATTATTTCCTCCCTAGGTTTGTTTGGGATTATGGCAACATGAAGACAACATAGCTAAGAAATAGACTAACTACTACTTTGACCATTTTTAAGTAAAATTAAAGCTTACAATAAACAAAATAATTAGAGGATGGATGACCGTTATGAACTAAATTTTCTCAGTGCTTGATTGATCAGTATTATTGTGTATTATAAAAGACTCAATTTAGAATGAGGGTAATAAAATTACCAATGTTAAAATGAAGAAGTCATTTCTTTTCTACAGCCTCATTTCCTTCATCAAATGTTGCCTTTCACATTACCAACTCTTCATTGGTTAGAAAAACACCAATTTACATGATTTCTGCAGTCCATAATGCACAACATGATGACACATTTATTTCAGTTATCATTTTATTACTGGACAAATGTTTTAATGTAAGAAAGAGAATTCAGGCCTTTTCAAACATAAGGCAGTTGTTGGTCTCTTATTTGAGTAAACTAATAGGATAGATAAGAGGTAATAATAGTCCTCATGTTATTGATAAAGAAAACGAGGTACAGAAATACTAAGGTATTCTACTGAAATAATTATTGGTGGGGCTGGGCTAAGACCAAGGTGATCAAACATCTATCCATTTTTCTCTTGCCAGTATAAGTTGATATGTATGCTTCTACAACCAACTACATGGAAAAGCTATTAATTTCCTCACTTTGTTTCATCACATTGATAGCATTGGATAATTAAAATATAAATGAAGGAAAAATAGAAGCAGCTAATGTTTATTAAGTATTTTTATATAGTATTATTTATAGAGATTACTGCATATCTTCTGAAAAATGCCAAAAAGCAAGCATTATTATTCTCATTTAGTAGGTGAAGAAATCCTATGGAGATCAGGTAAGTTGCCCAGGATCGCATAGCTAGAAAATAGCACAGCCTAGGTGAGGGCTTCTTTCTAGATAGTCCAAAGCCTGAATGTTTGTCATTAGTCAAAATGGAAAGTATGGCCCTTGGATCAATTTTTGATGTTATCAACTTTGACAAGTTTGTTGATCTATCTGAGCTTTACTTTTTATTATCTTTAAAATGAGGATAAGGTCTAGCTCCAATAACTGTAAGAACTTAATGAAATTTAAAGTGCTTTATTTACTGACTAGATACAACACTCAGTTAAGAAATGAAGAAAGTCTTCAACAGGGTCACCAATTAGAAATGTCAAAGTGAAATTCAAAGATCTTCCTGATTCTAAAGCAACTCCTCTTTGAATTAGAACATGTACTTATTATACATATAGTTGGTTTACAGTTGTTAAAGAACAAAATTCAACTGAGTAAATTTGAAGATCTAATTGACTTTACTAAGTGATCCATGAATCAGGCAACATTCCATCTAGCAAGTTGTAGAGTGAACACAAGGGATGCGCAAAACAGAAGGTATTTATAGGAAGAAGGGTGGGGTGAGGGAACTATTAACAAAAGAAGAGAAGGGATTATGTTTTGACCAGGTCATCTTTCTTTGGGAGTCAAGGGAACTGCAAAGGGTTTTATTGTGCAGGTGTCTCTTCTTTCTATGGGGGATGGAGAGGACCAAAGTGAAGTTGCCTCATTGGTATTGACCAGAAAATTCCAGAGTGGTGTCTCAAGATTCTTTTTGTGGGACAGGTTAAAACAGCAACCAGGTCAGGCATTAACCTAGGTTTGGTATTATGGGCTTTACCACAAGTGATGCCATTTTGGACTTGGGGTTTTCTCTTTAACATAGTTAATGGAAAGGGAACACCCTTTTTTCTTACTTAACACACAGCACATAGATTTACACATTGGATTATAAAAAAGTATCAGAAGGCTAAATCTCTGGACTGCCAACTCTACATCTGTCTTTTAGCTACTCTATTTTCCCCTTATGGTAACACCAGGAATGTGCTTTGGAAATTCATTATATGATTGGATAATTTGAACCAGGCAGTTGCCACTCCTATATAATGACACCCAGTAAAAGCTTGATAAATACTAGGTCTTTTATCCCTGACACTCTTTGGTGTCTTGCATAATGAATGAGGCTGCTCTACACTTTAGGACAAGCTTTGTGGTTCCCTGCTTTTTGACTATATTGCACTGGAGGAGAATTGGGGTAGAAAGATTATTGATTATACATACTCAAAGCTGTTGGTGTAATGGACTTTCAACATATCTGAAAAAAACTTTGATTTCCCCAGATCTCAGTATTTTGCCTTCCCCTGCTATTGATACCTGACATTCTTGTTTCTTAGTTAAAAATTTGTAGCTTTGAGAACATGCAAAATGGAGTTATATCATCTTCTATTACCAGTCATTGATACATCAGGGTTAATGAGACTATTCTCTAATAAGGGCCTGGAAAAGATGGTGGAAAGCAGGGATGCCCTTGGCACCCAAGCAAAAAGGAAGGGTTTAATTAAGATCGGAAGAGAAAGAGAAAAAGGCGTAGGGAGAATTTTAGAGGGAAGCAGGAAAACAAATCCTGTAGGCATTACCATCTTGGTAACATTAGCCTTAGTGATTGATCCAAACTGTATCTTTCACAAGGTCCTAGAGTCCTATGGTTTCCTTGAGGCCTGAAAGGATGTCAATGTGTGAAGCTGATAAAACTTACATGCTTACCCCTTTAAAATATTAGGCAGCAGAGACAAAAGGGATCCAGTGATTATTTGGTAAAACCAACCACTTGTGGAGGAAAGACCAAGGATAGAAAAGAAAAGTGTCTTGGTTATTGATGGCAGCAATTTCAGAGAGAAAATACAGTAACTGGAGGCACACTAAACTCCTTGCTGGCAAACGTGTGCCTTGTATTTGTACCCTCCAGAACCTGGCATATACCTAGCA